TGAGGCCCCGGTTTTGGGGTCACGAGCCCTGGCATCGGGGGGATGAGAACCCCCCCCCCCGGTTTTGAGGTCCCAAGCCTCAGCATAGGGGGGGTATGAGCCTCTGGTATTGGGATCCTGAGACTCCAGGATCAGGGGGATGCGAGCCTCCAGTTTTGGGGTGCTGAGTCCCCAGGACCAGGGGGATATGAGACCCCAGGTTCGGATTCCCCAGCCCCGGCATCGGGGGTGCACGAACCACTGGTACGAGCTCTTTGAGCCGACGGTGTGCGCTTCCCGCACCTCCGGTACTGAGGTCCCGCGCCCCGGTCCCCGGCCGCCGCTCCCCCCTCCCCGGTACTGCGGTGCTCGGCCGGCGGGGCCCGGGGGGGCCCTGGCCCGGTGCCGCGGTCCCGGCGCGGCTCCGGTACTCACTCCATGGTCCCGGTGACGGCTCCGGCGAGGGCGGGGGGCGGCGGAGCGGGGCCGGCGTCCGCCGGCGTCCCGGCGCTCAGGGCCCGGCGGGCGGCGGCATCCCCGGCGGGGCTGCGGGATGCGCAGGGATGTCGGGACCGCGCCGGTGCTCCCGCCTCCCTCCCGCACAGCTCCGTCTGCCGGGCGCGCCCCGCCACTGCCGCCGCCCATCACCCGGCCTCGGGGCGCGCCGGCATCGCCGGGGCTGTGGCTGCTGCTGAGGGTCCCGAGGCGAGTCCCGACTGTGCAATGCCCGGTGCGGGACAGGTTGGAGGAGTTGCATTCGCAGCGTCTCCATGAATGCAACCCCTGTGAATGTTCAACCCCCTCCTGTGAATGCAACCCCTCAGTCCTGCCCCACCCCAGGCACCGCCGCCTCTTTGCTCCCCCCTTTCTGCTCCCCCATTTCCCAACCCAACGGCCACCATGGGCAAACTGCCACAGGAGGCCCCGAGCCACCCTCTGTTGGGAAATCTGCCCACTGCTGGGGGAGAGCTTTGCACCTGGCCCTGGAGCAAGCCTGGCTCTGCAGCGAGTGTCAGCATGCCCCCCCAGCCTGGTATCTCACACCCCCTGCACCCCTTTTTGCATTCCAAGGCAATGCAGAACAGGGGGAAGAATGCCCCTCTGCCCACAACATCATCCCAGAGCCAGCAGCCCCATGGCAGGGACGCTGCCATGTCCTGGGAGGTGTCCTGGGGTCCTGCTGCTCCCACCTCCCTACCAAGAGAGAGGTTTCATCCCAGTTAGCTCAAGGCACAAGAGGAGTCAGGACTGGGAAGCTGCTCTGCTCTCCTTCTCCCACGCTGGGGGAAGCTGCGTGGCAGTGCCAGGGCCCCCCACCCCCTGAATTGCACAAAGCAGTAACACCCAGAAAGAGGAAGCAGGAGGGAGATACCCGCTGGCACCCCGAGGCTCAGCCCCCGGAGGGATTTAAGCACCCCCACCCCGAGCAGCCCCAGCAGTGGTGACAGTGGCCTGCTCTGCACTGCCATGATCATGGCTGGGCTCTTCATCCTCAGCCTGGGAGGTTCCATCCTGCTCCCAGCAGGTAGTGGGAGAGCTGGGGCCACGGTACAGGTCCCCAGGGTGGGAGATGGAGCCCCTGTGGCACGGAGGAGGCCAATGATCACCTGCACCCCCCAGGCACCCAGGGGAGCCGGATCATCGGGGGAAAGGCAGCAGTGCCCCACTCCCGGCCCTTCATCGCCTCCATCCAGATGGACGGGGAGCACGTCTGCGGGGGCTTTCTTGTGTGGCCCAAGTGGGTGATGACAGCTGCCCACTGCCTCATTCCCAGGTGAGCCCTGTCACCCCTGAACATCGTGTGACCCCTTCTAACTGATACCCCTGTCCCAGGGGGTTACACAGTCCTGGAGCTGCCCCCTCCCACCTGTGCTCCCCCTCGAGCCCCCCCCGATGGCCCCCAGCCTCGGCAGCACCTGCTCAGGCCCCCCCTGGCTGCAGGAGCAGCCCCTCGGTGCGTGTGGTGCTGGGCGCCCACCGGCTGGAGGAGCCCGAGGCGTCCCAGCAGGTCTTCAGCGTGGTTGAGTCCATCGCCCACCCGCGCTACAACCCCCGCGCGGTGGACAACGACATCCGCCTGCTCCGGGTGAGTCTGGCGTGCCACTGTCCCGCCACTGGGCACCCAGCGGCCAGGCAGGGGAGTGCCCCATGGCCCGGGACACGGGAGGGAGGTGGGGTGCCCCACGCGGGGCCGAGCCGACACTAGATGTCAGTGCTTCTCCGGAGAAGACAGACCGCGCCGTGGGTGCGATGGAGGCACCAAGGACACTCTGTCCGGGTCAGTGACTCCCAAGCAGCCAGTCTTTAGAGCAGACTGGGACCAGTGCAGAAGGACTGGTGGGGGGGCCCAGCCTCTGAAGAGGGAGGGGCAGGGCTGGGGGGGATCAGCAGGACGGGTCAGCTGGGGCAGGCAGGCTGTGGGGTGGAGAGGGTCCCAGGCAGGAATAGCTGGAGGGCTCCGCCCAGCAGCAAAACCGTCCGTGCCCTGTCCACCCACCCAGCTGAACAGGTCGGCCAAACTGAACGAGTACGTGAAGCGGATCCGTCTGCCTTCGCCACACATCGACCTGAAGCCCGGCACCGTCTGCTGCGTGGTGGGCTGGGGGGACACCTCCAACTATGGCAACCAGCCCGCTGAGCTGATGGAGACCAACACCACCATCGTCAAGCGGAGCCTCTGCCGGACGCTGTGGAGGGGCAAGGTCTCGGCCAACATGCTGTGCGGGGCCAGCCCCAACGCCACCCTGCAGGGCGTCTGCACCGTGAGTGCACCCCCGGCCCCGGGCCCCACTGCCCCCACTGGGAGACCCACTAGTCTCCCTCCAACCTCCTCATTTTGCAGGGTGACTCTGGGGGACCCCTGATCTTCAAGAAAAAGGTTTACGGCATCGTCTCATTCTCCGGGAAGAGATGTGGGGACCGCCGGTTCCCCGACATCTACACCAAGATCTCCAACTACATTGGCTGGGTGCATCGCACCGTGCGAGGGCCCCGCCAACGGAAGGGGAGGCCGAAGCCCTAACATGGCTGGGAGGGGGTCCTGGGGGTGGGCTGTGGGGAGAGGGGCTGAGATGTCTCCCAAGAGGGGAGAAAAGGGCCAGAACTCCCACATCCTCCAGCTCTGGTGGGGGCTGGGAGCTGATGCTCAGGGTTCCTTGACCCAGGACTCTGCCCATTGGTGAGGGGTGTCACGTCCTCCTCAGGCTGTAGCAGAAGCCCCAGCACCTCACGCAGCCTCTTGTGGCAGCAACATTTTCCTTCTTCAATAAACCCCCATCCCACTGCTTCCCTCTGTGCTCTGGTCCCCCCGACTTGTCCTGGGTGTGGGCGGATGGAGCAGGGGGTGCAGGAGGAAGAAGGGGAATGTGGCCCCCACTCAGGACCAGGCCCTGCCCCAGAAGAGCCAGGATCTGCAGCCAGGTGCTGCCACCCCAGCTGCCTTCCCGTCAGGGGTGGGGCTCCCCATCCCATCTCATCCCATCCTGCTCCATCCCATCTCATCCCATCCCGCCTCATCTTGTTCCATCCCACACCACACCCTTCCTGCTGCTCTACAGGACCCCCCAAACAGGGGAACCACAGACACCCCCCGGGGTCAGGCGGGCTCCCAGCTGCGCTGGCGGAGCCCACAGGGATCCGTCGGGAGCCTCACCCACCTCCCCACCCACAGACGGGCGCTCACCCCGTGGCAGCTGGGTGCCCACAGTGGCCAGGGGACATGTGCTGAGCTGCTGCTGGGTCTCAGCTGAGACACGTGTGGCTCTGCCCGGCGTCGTCTAGGAGAACAGACTCAGACATTCCCTGCTTCTGGCTGTTTGTTTTATCTGCAAATTGCTGGCACCCTGTGGCTGCTGCAGGGCCTTGCACAGGGTCAGGGGACACAAGCTGCGGTCACCAGTGGCCCTGGGGACACCCAGTAGAGGACAGACAGGCTGCCAGCATCCAAAGAAACCCCAAATCCCAGGGGGGTGCTGGCAGAGGCAGTGTGGGGCAGAGATCCCCTGGAATGCCGGGACAGGGCTGCCAGCCCCGGGGCTTCCACACACTGCCAGGGAGCCTGGAGAGCCGGCGCCTGTCCCAGCTTGTCCCAGACCACCCAAAAACTGGTGGGAAGGTGGCTCCTGACTCACAGCCATGTTTTGGAGGCTGAAATCTCCCGCTCATCACAGGAGCTGCTGTTGCTGCCGCAGCCCGTGCCCGCGGGCTCGGCACGGGGCCACGCACCAGCCGCTCCCGGGGCCAAACCCCGCGGCGGGGCAGGCGGGACGGGGAGCTGCCGTGGGCAGGAAGCGCTGCGGGCAGGCCGTGGAGGAACCCAGGCCACACACCACCGTGTGCAGCAGCGCCGGCATCCAGAAGGGCGTGGGCAGCGTTTTGGGAACTCCCGTACACCCATCCCCAAGAGCAGGGGGACATCGCTGAGCTGGGCAGGCAGGGAGAGGCTGCAGGAGAAAGTCCCACGACTGGGTTATCTGTCCTGGGTTATCTGAGCGGTCTTTTCCGACCTAAATGATTCTGTGATTCTCTGCAATGCACTCCTGTGCTGGGCATGGCTCTGAGGGGCTCGGCGGGGGTTGGGGGCTGTGCCACGCTGGCCCCCAGCACAGGGGATGCAGCTGAGGGAGATCCAGCGGCAGTTCCTGTGGAGCTCAGCACGTCAAGCCACAGGCTGCCGCCCGGGAACCATCCCACATCGGGACCCAATTACCGGCAGGAATTGTTTTGTGAAATACCAAACCCTCATGGCACAGCCCGGGATTGGGAACAGATTTATCTTGCTCTTCCCTGCTCTCCCCTTCCCTCCCGCTGCGCTGAGCAGCCTTGGCCGGGCCGGAGAACCCGAGCGCCAAGCGGAGCAGATGGGACGCGGCTCCTCACCGCTGCTGGGGGCTCCCCACATCCCAGACCCCGGCACAGGGGCACAGCCCCAGGGACAACACCACCTCCTGCGGCCCCAGAGCCTGCCCAACAAAACCAGACCCACAGCACCGTTTAATCTGGTTTATAATTATAATCCAACATAATCTAATGCAGCCATAAAATGCCCCAACAATACAGAATAGGGAATGTGGGTGTTCCCAAAGCATCTGCCTTGAGGGTCAGAATCCAATCATACAAAAATAGAAGATAAGGTATTTTTACATATAATATATATATAAAAATGATATTTATATAAAGTCAAGAGCTTTTTGGTGTCAGAGCTGAGCTGGTATTTACACAGGTGACAACAGAAGAAATGAGAAAAGGAATAAAAATAAATACAGGTGTGGGCAGAGCAGGGGGTACAGGGCCCCATAGCTGCAGTGTGGGGGTCCTTGGGGGGGCGGGCAGGGCCATCTCTCCCTGCAGCTTGGGCTCCATCTGAAGCTGTTCTGGCAGGGAGGGATGAGGAGGGCTGGGGGCAGCTGCCCTGGGTGATGGGCTCTGGGTGGGGGCTCAGTGGGCCAGGGAGAATGGTCATGCCCCTCAGATAGGGCTGCCACTGCACCAACTCTCTGGGCACCGGCATCACCTCCGAAGACGGTGGGAGCCTGGTCTGAATGGGCCTGGGAAGACCTAAACTGAAATCCATTTGAACACACACATGCTGAAAGTTTAGGAGACAATAACATACATATTTTTTTTTAATATATATAAAAATATATATCTATCTCTCTCCAATCTGATGCAGCATGCACTGCCTTTCCTGCTGCTGGCAGCCGGGGCTGAGCCCCTCAGGGAAGGCAAAAGCACAGATTCCCTCTAGACCTCGAGGTCCCAGCCAGAAACGTCAGCAGAGTACTGAGAATTAATCCAAAAATAAATAGGCCCAGGGCTGCCGGCCAAGGACACGTAAGGGGGGCCCACGGACACCCCTCCACACCGCGCCAGCAGCAAGGAAGGGCACTGGCCAGTGGAGAGCTCTGCCGGGCACTGGGTGGGCACCGGAGCATCCCAGGGCAGCTCAACATCTCTCTGGCCGTGAGCCCCCACCCCTGCTCCCCGGTTGGCAGGATGGGAACTGAGCCCCCTGCGACTGCATAACATACACAGGGATAAATAAGGATCTTTTTATCTTAATAAATATCAGGTATATGGTTTGTACAATATACACATAATGCCCCTGTCTCCCGGCTCCGGCTCGGCCGAGGGAGGATTCACACATAGTTCTCTTCCACGCTGTCCGTCTCTGCGGAGAATTTGGCTGCAGCTGAAAACAGAGAGAAGTGGTGAGGAGGGTGTGAGGGGTGACCAGGCTCTGGGGGTCCGTGCCCGCTGCCCCCCGCCCTGCCCTGCTCACCTGAGCAGCTCCCGTAGTGGCGCACGCCGATGGAGCGGCCGCGGTGGCAGGTGGCCCGCCGCAGGTGGCACGCTGAGGGGTAGGTGACATTGTTGTTGCCGCAGAGGGCGTGGTCCAGGCTGGTGGGCTCAGGGCAGGGAGCCGTCCGGCACATCACGCAGTGGGCGCTGCCCGTCTGGTCCACCACGCAGGTGTGGGTGCCAGGGCACACCACGCTGGAGCAGGACTCTGCAGGGAAGCACGGGGCTGGGGTGACCCGGGGAAGGGCACCCCCTCCCGCGGCTCCTCCGACTCAGGTGGACGGTGGACATCATCCCAAGGAAACCCGGCCACCTCCCAACCTTTGCTACTGGGGGACAGAGAGGAGCCAAGGGCCGAATGGTCCCAATCTCCCCCACCGATGATGCTCCCAAGGGCAGGAGCTGGCAGGGCTTGACATCCCGAGCGTGAAGGGAGCACGTGGCCCCAGGCTCTCGGCCTCAGCCCCAGCCAGAGCTGCGCCGCACGGGAGGAGCTGAGGTGCAGCTGCAGCGGCGGAGCGAGCGCGGGGCTGAGCCCGTTTGGCGCGGGGGGACCGGCCGGGCCAGCGGCCGCACGCAGGTGCCTTGGCAGGGAAGCAGCAGCTGCTGCAGCCAGGCTGGCAGCCGCCGTGCTGGCCCCGGCAAGAGGGAAGGGCAGGGTCACCCTGGACCCGACCCAGTGCTGGAGCAAGGGCGCATGGGCGTGGAGGGAGCCTGTGCAGCAGGATCAGGCCCTGCAAAGGGCTCTGCCGGGGGGTGGTGGCGCAGGGGGCTCGTGCACCCCCATCATCCCTCCACCTTCCTCTCTTTCTTTCCCTGCTGGATTGGAAGATTTGGCATCTGCAGCTCTCAAACTCCCATTTCTTGCCCCACATTTCCCTGCTCAGCCCAGAGCTTGACAGACAAAGCCTTCCAGAGAGCAGGGCTGGAAAAATAACCATAATCCTTCTGACAGCTCTTGGCAGAGCCAGGAAGATCACTGCGCCCTTTACAAAAGAGGAAAAAAAGGGGCTTGACGTTTGTAAATGACATTTTAGGGACTGTTACTGCTCAGTCCAAAGTGAGACCAAACCCCGGCGCACCAACAGCCTACAATGTCCCCTTAATGGGCACCAAGACCTGTGTCCTGCAGGCGAGACCCTGCACTGGGATGGACCTTCCCTCCCTGGACCACAGGGGATGGGGATAGGACAGAGACAGAATAGGAATGGGACACAGTGGGGTGGGGGCTCAACTGCACCTACTTTTGCATTTGCCCTGGTACATCACTTCGAGGTCGGGGTGGTCTCTGCACTTGGCCGTCAGCAGGTCACACTCGTCCCGGTAGGTGTAGCCATCAGAACCGCAGACCTGCAGCTTGCGGGGCAGGCTGGAGCAGTCTGGGGCACAGGCACACTGGGGACGCCCGTGTTTCATCTTGCAGACCTTGTCGGGGCCGCACACCACCCCCTCACAGCTCTCTGGGGACACAGAGCAGCAGCAGTGAGGACGCGGCACCGGCTGCCCCCCACCAGGGAAGGGCCCGTGCTGCCCACCCCCGTGTGACACCGAGTGGGACGGGGCCAGCGTTGGCCCTCGCAGTCCCGAATGCCCCCCGGGCCACAGCGCACGTGCTGACACTGAGCTGCCCCGGCAGCATCTGGATCTGCTCAGCCCCACCGAGGAGCAGGTCGTTGGCTGTGGCTCTGCACAATCATCCAGCGCTCACCCCAGCCGGAGCCCCGGCTCCACTCAGCACCAGCTCACTCCTTCCCATCTATTTATTCTTTGGAAGGAGTCATTTCTTTCTCTTGTGCAATGGAAAAATCTATCTCCACAAGGCCCCAGTTCCTCCAGAAAGAGCTGGGCTTCGCGAGTTGTCTGGGCGATTGGGAATGCCGCTCCCAGCAGACAATGCCTGGCCCTGTCTCGCTCTGTGACTGGAACACAAGAGCAGGAGGCAGCAGCCAGCGCCGGTCCCCAGACAGGCAGATGCTTTGTCCCCCCGGGTCACCTCCCGGCCAGCACGGGGGCCGGGGTTCAGGGGGTCCTGCCAGTGCCCCGGGGCCATGCCCACGCCAGCAGGGACGGAGAGGGGCCGCTGAGCAGGGGCCCATCCTGGTGTCCAGGGGCCCAGACGCTGGTGCCTCCGCAGGGAGAGGCAAAGGGGTCAGCGGCAGGGACAGGGGTTCTGTCTGGGGCAGCTGGACCCCCTCTGCCTCCCAAAGCACACAAAGCACTCACCCCAGAGGGACTGGCCCCTGAGCTCCCCAGGACATGGGCACTGCTTGGACCAATCAGCACCCACACCGGGCAAGACCAAAAAGCTTCCCAGAACGGGGATTCTCCCCCAGCAGGAAGGATCCCTGGGGACAGGGTGTGTGCTTGGAGCTTTGGGAGGCACAGAGGGGGATTTCCCTGTGGGAGATGGGCCACCTTGGGAGACAGCGAGGAGGAGGAGGAGAAGGAGGAAGGGGAAATTCCCTGTCTGCTTAGCCCAGCAGTCCCTGGGGGAAATTCCCTGGTGGGAAACAATTTCCCAGATTGCTCCCTGATTTCCACAGCTGGGGTTTGTCCCAGGGAAGGAGACCCTGAGACATGGGGACCCCATGACAGAGGGTTACAGCTCTGTGTCCCAGGGCTGCTAGAGGAAACAGGACCCTCATCACCCTCCGCTCTGAGATGCTGCAGCAGAGCAGAGTCCGATTGTCCAGACAGTCCCAGCAAGGGAGGGAGTGGCTGGAGAATCTGCCCGTGACCCTGACCCCACAGCCTGGCTCCCCCCCTGCACTGGGTCCTTGGGGGGGACACCGTGTCCCCAGCAGCTGGAGCCAGGAATTTCACTTCCCTCCCAGAGACCCATTGCAGAGCCCCCGGGGCCTGGCCGGCACCTCCCCGTGGGGCTTGGCCGCCCGGCTGCAGCCCACTTTATCCCAGAGTAACCTCTTCCAGCCCTGCAAGCCCAGCGAGTGGGAGCACAGCTCCTCTTATCCACCCTCTTCCAAAGCCTCTGGAGCCTGGTGAGGAGCAGCACCAGCTCCATCTGGACGGGACAGGCAGGGGCTGGCTGATGGTGTGAGGGTTGTGGTGCAAGTGCTGGCCGGGCTCTCCAGCAGTTTCCTTAAAGGCCCTGCTCCCAGACCCCAGTAAACCCCAGGAGCCTCAGCCCACACTGTGGTCTGTGGCCACTGGCAGCCCCCATGCCTCCCAGTCTCTCTGCAGAGGTGAGACCAGACTCCTGGTCAAGGGCTGCCTGTTCCCACTGCACTCTGCCCCAGGCATGGGGGAGCCCATGGAGAGGGTCCTGGTGCTCCCAGCTCCGCCAAGCAGGGATGGGGCCAAGGCCAGGATCTCACTCAGCTTTTGGCTGGCACGGGGTGCAACCCCAAGCTGCACCAGGATGGGCCCGAGGAGTGCAGGGAACTAGAGGAAGCGGTTTTGTTAAGAACCTTTTTCCCCCTTTAAGCAAATAACAACATGACCTTCCAAATCCCTGCTCCTGTCTCCTGCGGGCAGCAGGTCCTCGAGCATGTTCTCACACAGCCACACAAGTGCTGGGGGATCCGCGCCTCTGGCACACGCCAAAACATCTGGTGGGGCTGGAACTCACAGCTGGAGAGTTTCCACTTCTGGAACTGCCCGTTACATAAAGCCATTTCACACACACGCTGGGAGGAGCGAGGGGGAGCGGAGGGGAAGAAATAGATCTTTTTGCCTTAGAAAAACCTGACAAAGTTTCCCCTGAGCAGCCATGGTGAGGGCAGGGGCAGGGGGCCCCAGTGCAGCGAGGTTAACTTGGGAACAGGCAGCCCCAGCTCCGCTCCCTGCACTCGGCTGCCCGGCCAAGACCCGGGTCACGCGTCCTACTCCGCTGGGAGAGAACTAAAATACACACAAAATGAGAGCAGCCAGGGGATGCAGGCTGTCCTGCCAGCTCTGACCCACAGCAGCATCTGTCCAGGAGCTGCAGCAGCAGGAGCATGGGGTCAGCAGTCCCTGGGGTCCCTGTGCTGTCCCAGACTGCCCAGAAGAGCCCTGTCTGGTGAGGGGCAGCCCAGCCCCATCACTGCTGCATCCCTGGAGCTGCAGGCTCTGAGCATCCCCCGTGGGCAGAGCTCAGCCCCACAGCATCCCCTCACCCCCTGGCCCGCTCACCTTTGCAGGGGTGGCATGTCACCAGCCCCAGGAAGCCCAGCAGGCTGATTTTGTTGCCTGGGTAGGTGTAGTTAGACCAGGCCACGTCCACATTGCCGTTGGCACAGCATTCCTCCCATGTCACACCCGTCTTCAGGATCATGGTGCACTTGGCCTCCTTCCCCTGCTGCAACCAGCAGATACCACCTGTGGAGAGGGCAGAGGGTAAGGGATCCCTGCTGTGCTGGGACTCCCACGAAGGGCAGCAAGATGCCAGCTGTGGCTGGACCACCTCGGGCAAGAGGCACAGAGATCACTCCAGTGCCTGGGATGAGCTGGGGAACCCAGAGACACTCTGTTCTGGCTCCCATCACTCATGTGGCACAAGAGCTGTCCCAGAGCAGGTGTCCCTATGGGTCCCTGGCACGGCAGCTCCATGCCCTCATAGCCATGCCAACGCCTGGGGCTGCTGCCAGCCCTCTTCCACCAACAGGTTCAAAACCAGCACTGGGACCACAGGGATGCACCAGTTATCCCAGCACTCCCAGCAGTGCTCTGGGAGATGCCCAGCCAGCAGGCCAGCGCATCTTACTTGGGCTTGCAGCTTACCTCCTCACTGCCCTGCCCTCCCTGCCTCCATCTCTGCCCAGCTCCTGCCCAGTCCCAGAGAGAGGGGGCCCCAGCTGGGAGGGGGGCAGACAGAGCAGGGCCAGTGGACAACCATGCTCTGGATCCCCCGGTGTGTGCCAGTGGCTCCATGGGGGAATGAAACCATCACGGGGGCTTGACACACACACGGCCCCTGCAAGGAGCGCCTGAGCCAGTGGCTGGAGCGTGGGGCACTTGCCCCAGCCCTTGGGTCTGGGCCAGCCCCGCGGCACCGGATCGCTCTGACTCAAAAGCCTGTTTGTTCTGTGACCCACCAGCGAATCAGTTAGATTTTTTTTTTCTTTTTTGTGAGTGATTTCTTTGCAATTTCCGCCTCTGCAAACCAGCCTCTTGTGACGCTTATTTGGGTTCGTGCTCTCATTAGCTGCGCTTGAGGTTTGTTAAACGGCAAAAGATGGGAGGGAGGGAGAGATGGGGGCGGGGACGTGTCCTGTGCTGCCGGGGGGGAGTCGCTCCCCTCCAAGTCAGGGATTCACCCTGCCCCAAAGTGGAGCCCGCCCCAGACCCTGTACCCCCTTTTTTCCTCCCTCGCATATGATTTTGGTTCAGCCACAAGCACATGGGGCTCCCAGCCCGGCTGCATCCGCGGGGCAGTCGTGGATGGAGCAAATCCTCGGGCTGCGGAAACCAGCGCCTGGACGCCTCGGGCAGCACCAGCCGCGCCAGCACGCGGCTGCCATCGGGGGGTTATCCTCCACGGATTTGTTCAATTGCTCTTCCGAGCCCAATTTCCCGTTACAACACCGCACGGCCCCCACTCCCCACGGAACACTCGGCATCGTGCGAAGGGAAGATGGAAACTCTCGCTCCGATGCGGGAGAAGCGACACCAGCACCACCGCACGGCTCCGCACCGCTGGGAAGGGCTGATGGAGCCCCGACCCGGGGTCTCGGGACGTCCTCCCCCACAGCCCCGACACCGCCCAAGCACGGCGAAAGCCGCTAGCACCGGCGGCGGAACCGGGAGGCTCCGAGCTACGAACTCCACACCCCGGTCACGGACCGGCCCCGCTCCCGGCCCGTCCCACCGGGGGCCACGCAGCCCCGAGCCGGCTCTGCCGCCTCCGGGAACGGGGACTCCCGGGGCACGCGGGGTGCGGGATACCGAGGCCGGGCAGCGGCACGGGCGGGACCCCGGGCGTTCGCTCCCGCCGCGCAACCCCGCGACCGACGGAGGGACGGCAGGGACCGGGACACCCGAGCGGCACCGCCGGGCACCGGGCAGCCGCCGCTCCGCCCCTTAAAGCGGGTTTGTGCCGCCGAGAGCTCGGCATCTGCCCGGCGGGACGGGACAGCGGTGCCCGAACGGCGCCGCGACCCCGGGCCGGGCCGCCCCCGCCCCGAGCACCTGCCGGCGGCGATACCGAGCGGGCGGGCTGCGCCGGGACCCCCGCCGGAACCGGGACCCCGCGGCTCTTACCGTGCGCGGCGGCGGGGCTGCAGAGCGCCAGCAGGCAGAGCGCCAGCCGCAGCGGCATGGCCGGGCCGGGCGGGGACGGGCCGGGACGGGCCGGGGCGCTCCGGTGACCTGTTGCTGTGAGGCGGCGGCGAGGCCGGCGGAGCTATAAAGCGGCGGGGAGGCGTGAATCACCGGGCGGGGCGGCGCGGGGGGGCCGGGGCGGGGGCAGCGGCGGTGGAGTCGGGGGGCAGCGAGGGGGGTGAGTGCGGGGGCGCGGGGATGGCAGCGAGGGTCTGATCGTCCCCGAGTGGGCGGTGGGGAGTCGTGTCCGTGTTTCCCCCGGAGCGGGCAGGGACCGGCAGCCCCGGACTGAGATGGGACGGGGAAGGTTTGGGGGTGCCCCCGTGCTCGGTGTGCAGCGGAGCAGAGCGGTGTCTGGGCAGACCCTGAGGTGTGGGGAACCCCAGAACACTTCCCTGCCCGACCCTGTGCCGCCCGCACGGCTGCGCCTTCCACACCCATCCTCGCATGAACCCGCGTCTGCCTCCTCCCGCCCTCCTCCTTCTCGCGGAGCAGCCCGGCTGGCAGCAGGGGTAGGGTGAGGGCTGTCTCATGTGGCTCCTTTCATCTCTGCTACCCAAACACCCCCGCAGCCCGGCTGGTACCCAGCATCACCCCCAACGAGCCGAAGGGAAACTGAGGCACCAACTCGAGCCCTGCCAGACAAGGAGGGGAAGGAGAAGAGCTGGTGGGGTCATACTCCCATGGCACGTGCTGGCCCCATTCTCCCCAGCTGTCCCCACTAGCACTAGTACTAGCACTGCATCTCCTGGCTCCCAGACGCATGCTGGACCCTGCATGGCCTGGCTCGTGCTGGGGAACTGGGACCTGGGCCAATACTGCCAGGTTTTCAGGGGCTCCCAGTCTTTGTGCAGCTCCTGACAGGACTGGGGAGCACAGTGGGGAGCCCCGGACAAGGCAGGCTGGGCTCTCTGGCATTGCCTGGCCTTGCTTCTTGCTCAGTGCCACCACAAAGAGATTGCCCACCTGTTTGAAGGGGGGTCGGGGTGCACCAGGGCCCCCAGCTGTCACCCAGCTCCCCAGGTAGGGCATTGGGGACACAGGGCTCTTTGCCACAGCCCAGGGCCCTCTCAGCCCTGAGTGCCGTGTCCAGCTCGCGGCCGTGCAGCTGAGGAACGTTTCACCCCGTGCACTGGCCTCAGCTGAGGTCATGTTTTCAGCAGGGCTGAGCTGGGCTCTTTCGGAGAGGGGCCCAGACCACAGGGCTCCGGGGACCCTGCACCACCCCTCTGGCCCAGCAGCAGCCTCCTGGCTCTGAGTGGTGCCAGCACAGCACAAGCAGCTTGCTCTGGCGCGGGATGGGGCTGGACGCAGCTTTGGTCTGGTGGGACATGGAGCAGCCCGGGTCCCACAACAGGGATAGCGGGTGCGCTGCCAGCTGCCAGCACGGGCAGAGCAGTATGGCCACTGGCACCAGCACAATCTCCATCCCTCTCTCTGCCCCTCTGGCCAGTGAGCCGTCTCTCACCAAGGTAGATCTTCCCCTCCTTTTCCCCATACAGTCCCTTGCATCCCCAGGGAGGGGTCGGGAATGGGGAGGGATGGGTTTACCCCAGGTGGCATTGGTGCCATCTGCAGGTGCAGGAGCTCTGTGTCCTGCAGCACCCGGCACCTCCCCACAGCGTGTGGTGGGGCCAGGAGAGCCCCGCACAGGACAGCGGGGGGGTCCTGGGGGAAGGACAGAGCTGGCAGCCCCCGCCCGCACGGGCTCCTGGTGTGCTCCCGGCCCTGGCCCGGCTGGCGTGACCCGGCTCCCTCGGCCGCCTCGGAGTGATTGCCCATGTAAGGGCCGAGGACTGGGAAGCCAAACCTCCAAGTGGGATGTCCGTGAGCGAGCGGGTGGTGATGCACTCACTCACATGCTCCAGGATGCGAGAGGAGCTCGAAAAGGCCAGGAAGGGATTTTCCCTGGCTCAGAGTGGGGTTGCACAACCACTGGCTCTGGCAGGGAAGGGGTCGGACCTCGCTTGGAGCAGCAGGCGTTGTTGCCTCTGTCAGGGAGCAACCAGGCTCCTGATGTGAGGCAGGAGGAGCCTGGAGGCCGGGAAGTAAGTGGGTCCCTGAGCTAAAGGGGGCTCAGAGCCCTGCTGAGGTCACCCTGCTCCCAGGAAAACCATGCTGGGGGCTCCGCTTGCCCTTCTCCTGGTTGTGGCCAAAGTGACTTGCCTGCAGTGATGGCGGGGGGGGGCAAGGCTGATTCTCAAGCAAAGCTGGGAGCAAAATTCCACCAACCAGTCTTGCACACAGGGTGATTCTGCCTCCCTGCACCCCACGGACAGCCTGGGACGTGACTGAGACCCCTCAGCACCCGCAGAAAGGGGGGAGGGGGGCGAGAAGCCGGATTGGGATCTGCAGGAAAGCAGCCCTGCGGCACCCGAAGGGAGTCAAAGGAGCCCCTGGACTGGGGCTGGGGGCGGCAGAAGGCGCTGGGACGGGGACAAAGGAGCCCTTTGGAGCGCAGTGAATGGCGGCCTCACATCTGACCTTTCATCTGGGTGCTGGTGCCATGCTGGGTCAGGGCTGCAGCAGGATTTCAGGATGAGGTTCAGACCCAGCCATTCTCCCCCCAAACCCTGGCTGGTGCATCCTGCTGCTGGGCTCCTTTAAGGAGGGAATCTCGCCTCTTTCATCAGTTCAGGCTAATTAAACTCTGCTAAACCAATTAGAGCTGCAATTTGCAACAAGACATTCAATTGAGAAGTGTTTCTCCCAGAGCTCAGGGTCAGGGCAGAGGTTTCATACCGCCGGCATGGATCTGTGGGCAGGTGTTGGCCAGGGCCCTGGATGTTGCCATTTCCCTGTCAGAGCGAGGTGATCCTGGCCCCATTCCTCTCCGCAGCGGGATGCCCCAGTTTCTCCCACGCAGGTGGAAGTGCTGCCAAACACAGCAGTGGGGAGAGGGGCTGCTGGTGAGGGATCCTCAGCCCTGGCTCAGGTGCATCCATGGGGCCATGAGACCCCGGGAAACCCTGGGGATGGGACCCAGGCTTGGCACAGCAGGGCCAGTGCTGGAGCTCAATGTGTACCCAGGAGGGGGGATGGGACCGAGCCTCGGTCACATCCCTCGGAGCTGGAGCCTGTGCTGGGTGGCTGGTGCAAGGCACGAGCTGAGCCCTGGGGCTGCTGCCGGCAGCCTTGACCCCGAGGCAGGATTTTCTCCACCGTGTCCTCATGGCTCCAGCACTGTGAATTGGGTTGGTGCTTGTGGCTCATGGCCACATCCCTGGAATTGGGGAGAGAGTGTTGGAGCGGTGTGGGCTGCACCTCGATGGCCACACCCCACCCCCAGCGCTGACACGGAGCTTCGCCCCGTGCCCTGGGGCGGCAGCGTCACCGCTGCTGCCTCAGTTTCCCCATCTGCTGAGACGAGATAATGCTCCTCTGCTTGATCCTGCGCTATCTCCCAGGAAGGTTGCAGGGATTAGATTGCTAATGTTTGCAAGGAGCTTTGAAGATGAAAGCTGTGAACAAATGCCAAGAAGTGCTGAGCTGGATTCTCCTCGCCAAGTAATCGTTTCATGTTCCTGGGACACTTCCACTTCTGCGGATGAAGGAGGGCAGGGCGGGAGCGCCGGCGTGCAGGGAGGGCCGGGAGGCTGACATACCTTCCCAAGACTTGCCCCTCCAAATCTGATCACCCATCCTGTTTGATTCCTGATCAAACTCTGATCCTTCCTGCTGATGCTCAGACCCAGACTGCCTCGCTGCTGCTGGCATCAGCACCACCAGCACCCTGCAGGCCCCAGCCCCCCAGGAAACATCACCCTGGGGGGGATTCGCTCCCTCTCCCCTCCTCAGCAAAGTCTTCCCCCTCTCCAGAGCTTTGGGTGCCCCCGGCAAGAGCTACACTCCCCCCCAAGGCCTCCTCTCTCCCAGTCTTTCATCCCAGTGTCCCCAGCTCTGCCCCACACTGATGGAAGATGCTCTGGGCTCTGTCTGTGCTGGAGAAATGCTGGTGCTTGGATCCAGGAGGTGCAAGCAACATGGAGTGGGGACTGGGAAGGCTGGGATGCAGGAAAGCAGCGGCCAGAGCCAGCAAGGACATCCTGTCCCATCCACTCTGACAAGGTGTGCCCCTCTCAAAAAGGAGCAGACATCTCATGGCCACGGCCCACAGCTGGCTCTGGTTCTGCCTCTCCTGTCCGTGCACATGGATTTACAGACACCTCAGTGAGCTCCTTACGAACAATCCCATTGCCCACGCGGCCAAGCCTGGCACGGTCAGCTGGGCCACATGTGACACAGGGGTGTGTGTGTGTAAACACATGCATGACACGGGTGTGTGTGTAAACACACGTGTGACACAGGGGTGTGTGTGTAAACACGCATGACACAGGGGTGTGTGTAAACATGCATGACACAGGGGTGTGTGTGTAAACACGTGTGACACAGGGGTGTGTGTGTAAACACACGTGTGACACAGGGATGTGTGTGTGTAAACACGCATGACACAGGGGTGTGTGTGTAAACACGCATGACACGGGTGTGTGTGTAAACACATGTGTGACACAGGCATGTGTGTGTGTAAACACTCATGACACAGGGGTGTGTGTGTAAACATGCATGACACAGGGGTGTGTGTGTAAACACACGTGTGACACAGGGGTGTGTGTAAACAAGCTGTGAGTCAGCGCCGGCAGCCGTGTGGGCTCCAGCACAAGCACTGCCTCCACCAGGTGCAGGGCAGGAGCAAAGTGAGCCTCGAGGGGAGAGCTGACAGTCAGGAAACCGTGTGGGGCTGAACTGGGTCCAGCAGAGCCAGGAGTCGGGAAAACCTCCCGGGCCATTAAAGTCCTTTGGCTCCTCGGCGAGGCTGGGGAGAGGCGCTGGCGGAGGAGGCAGAGCTGCACCAGGAAGGGCAGCGGTTCTCCACTGATCTTTGTTCCCTGGGCAAGGTGCTGGTTATCGGGACGAGACAGTGAGGCTGCTGGCTGCCCTCCTCCCATTCCAGCCAGGTGGAGGACACAGACCCCACTGGCACTACAGTGGGCTGTGGCACCCTGGCCCTGCCAGTCTGGT